TGTAAAGTAAACTAGAAAAACTTTTCGATATAACTGTTAAACATCACTTAGTGAATCCAAATTTGGCAAAAGTACGTGAGTTGCCTACAGATTATATTTTATAATGAATATTTCTAATAATTGATCCTGATAATAATAAAATGTAATTCATTTAAAAACTTCACTGACCCAGCCCATATTAACCTTGTACGTAAAGTGCACATTCCCCGACGATTATTTAACCATACAGAGATGTGGACAAATTAATCATTTCATAACGCTTCTGATGTCTTGGCGTTATTTTATATTCTAATATATCCGCGGGTCGGGCCACTTACTAAAGGTATATTCGGGCTGCAGGAAATTTAAATAGGTATTATAGAATCTATTGGTGTAGCACTGTGCCCGAACGACCCAGCTAGACAAGTGAGACACGACGACAGCTCGAACTGATTAAAACTAATGAGCGATGTAATAGTACTATGTTATTATTTATTAACAGACAATCGAATTTGATCTGCTCCGGTCTGCGCGGTTCGATGATTTACACGCCGAACTTGGTCCGCTCCGTACCAAGTCCGGACAAACGGCTCACGATCGAAACGTTGTAGGTGTAATAGTTTGAACACAGTGTCACAAAAATCGTTAAAACCCTTTTCTTAAAGTTTCTTGCACTTCTTCCACATAAAACAATAGGTAAAAATATTTTACTATAAAATCTATAAAAGTAGTATGTACCTATATACGTAATGAACTTAATGCACTCAAATTATTGACCTCATATAGCTCTGAGCTTACTTTAATAATCTGTTAAAATTCAATTTCAATATGTTTGTTACTTTTCAAGTCAATAAAAAAAACTGAGATGTTTTGTAATACAGTGATGAAGTGAGCAGAAGTAGAATGAAAATCACAGATAGACAGACAGGCATTTTCATTAAAAAAAAATAACAAATGAATATCCTAATTTTACAGCATTATAACATAAAATTATTGTCAGTGAGGAAAAGTTTTACCTCTAAAATTAAAATATAAATCTTAATGACTATTTTCAATTAATTATTTCGCATAAAATTTGATAAAGACATGTGTAACATGCACGGTAGTGGTTAAAATTTACATTTCATTGCTAAGCAGAAACGTAAAAATATTCGAGTTCTTATTATTAGTAAATACACCTAAGTGTTGTAATCTCTAAGATTAGTGTACTCTTAGGAATTCTTGTCTTTTAATGAAATTACTTTCAAGTTTGTGGTTCCAGAGGTTTCCATCCGACCATACAAGCAAGCAAGTGAATAATAATTCAGTGGAGAAACCTGGCTTTCAAAAGCTTTATAGTAGTTTAAACAAATGTATACTGTCATATTGCCGGGATGCCAGCTGAAGTCTGGTCTTTTATCCAAACATCGGCATTTTTAATCTCCTGCCCCTTGATCATGTGTTTCTGTCAAGACTGTATTGTAAAACATAATTCGAATCACTTCCTCCAGGGACGCTGATCATACTTCCATACAATTTCAGTCAACAACGATACGAAAACGTGGTGTCAAAGATTTGTGCTAAGGACAGTGAAATCCTCAATACCAGATCTAAGTAACCCTATTCCAGAGTTTGATTTAAATCTCTTTCAAAATGAAAAAAATAGATTATCTAAATTATTGTAACTAAGAATACAAGCTACAGAATATAGGTATAAAATCTATAGCATAATTCAATAGCATAATATAACTTATATTTATGGTAATACTAAGAAATATATAATCTGTTTCTTATTTCTGGGGACTGAATGATATTGCATGTGTTGCTACTTTTCGCACATTCTGATTGTTTAAGTTTATATTCGGAATGACTCGTAAAACCGTATTAGATGTTGTTCAAGAAAGAGCTTTGTGTAAAACTAACACAGTGAAAAGGCAATGAGCATGGTGATTGTCATGGGAAGGGCGATACAATTATTTTTAAACGTTACGTGATAAGTGGGTTTAATTAATATGGTAAATATAAGTGCGCTAAGAAACAAAATAATTTATATTGCAATGTAAGCATTAAACGTAGTAAATAATTTTTTTTCATACGCAACGTAAAATAAAGAAACGTTTAATGTTTCACTATTGAAGAAACACGTTTAAAGTTTTACGATTGAAGTTATTGGAAGAATGGAAATGTAATATGCTAATAAATGTAGCAATATTAATTACCAGTCTGACATTATGTCTACAGAATAAACGCGTATTATAGTGTATTAACTAAATTAATATGTTAATGGAATGAAACAGGTTAAAGGGTTACGGGTTTTATCACGTTTAATCTATTTATTGTTATTTCCGACATTTTGAATACGATCGGACTGAGGTGTTCGACGTCCCAATGTACATGCCGAGTAAATATTTAGCTATGACATTAGGACATCGAACTCCTCAGTCGCCCGTGACCATGACTGTTGCAAAGTATTCGAAACTTCGGGAATATAAAATAATTTCAATAAACGCGATAAAATTCGTAAAAAAAACTAGTTTCATACAATGTATAGTGTTGACCTAAATATATTAAATATATGAATGCAACATCACTGAACATTACGCCTAGTACTAAGTGAATAAATCTATAAATAAGAAAGTAAACCCAATACAATATACAGATGTGGCTTAATTACTACTCATAATTCTAAATAATTGACGCACATGTACGGGAGTGGAGATAACATTTTATAGAGAAATGACAGAGTTAACGAGGAATACTGGTCTAGACTAAAAAATCTTTATGACTGGGGGCAGTATTTACTATTACAATGTTGGTGCTATATAATGTACAATGACCCCGTTGTTGCATTAGCATTTTTTTGTTATAACTGCTTTTGAAAAAATTTGTGAAAAATATTTTGACGACGACTGGTAGTTAAATTACTTTTCACCGGTAGTATTAAGTGAATAAAAGTTTGGTCAAGAGTGAAGTCCAAAGAGAGTAAGAATATTAGTTAAAATTATTGTATTTTGATCTTATTATTCTATCCTTCGATTTTTTCCCAGACAGAAACTATACGCAATGTTTTCGACTACTCTGCAAAATTCCTTAAAAACTGCTCGAGTGTTTTCCGTTATATTTCTCTATAAAATATATCTGCAAATGAACCGTGTCAAGTGGTCAGAAATTCATGTTTCCGGAACTGTTGTACAAAAAACTCCTAAAGGAACTGAATTTTAACTCCTCTTTAAAAACGTTAAAGTAAGTAGTTTAAAAAAACCAAACAGCAGACATTACAAGTAACTAAAATTATTCTAACAGTTTTTGAAAAAATCTAGATTATTTGTTGTGAAGAAAATCAATCCGTCTTTTTAGTACACAGTCATCGCAAAATTTGGCATTTGCTGTTAAATTTCATGAGTACTGAACATTTGCATGCACAGTTACGTGAAATAGATGATATTTTATTTATAGTCTATTTCTGAACTACTTTTTGTGACAAGTCGGAATGAGTTGTTGGCATAACAGCTCCCAAAAACACTTGATTCATTTTAATATGACGGTTCGTCAGGATTACTTTCACATATCTCTGCCTTAGCTATATTAGTTCATATACTCGTACAGTTTCCAGTTTCAGTTTCCATATACTGCGAAAAAAATCAACGCCCATATTTCAATGAACCCTAACAGAATTATTCTCAATATGTACGAGTGATTCCGGAATGGCAGACAAGTTCTTATTCTGTTAGAGTGGTCGAAGTAGAGCGTAGAAGAACACTTCACAAGAAGCGGCAAAAGTCACGAAATGTGTCATATTATCGAGTATTAATTAATTGACAGTCTTGCGAATGGTAATAACAAATTTATAGTCCGACATCTCAACGGAGATAGTGCTTTCAGACTTTATACATACAGTTCATTTGAAAAAAAAAACATGCCGTTGACGACACGAATGTTCTACGTTGTCACGCTCCTTCGTGGTTTGAATGAAGGACTATTCATTATGTTAAAATACTGAAGGATATTAGCATGACTTGTTGCGAGAGAAAATAGCTTACTTCCAGTATGCATGCCACAAGCTTTGGTCTTAAACTTAGTCTCTCTACAAACAAAATGTATTTAATACATTTATGATTTTGGTTTTCAATTTAACAAGGCTATCGTTAATATGATATAATAACTCTCATATAATACAACTTATTCATAAGAAACTTAGATTGATATAGCAACTTATTAACACTTAAGCTATGATATACATGTATTTTGGTATTTTTACTAAATATATTTTTATGTTAAAGTATACATTATATATCTGGGCAAGTAAATGAATTATGCTGTGTTGGAAACAAACTATGCGTACGTTGCAATCGAATCCGCTAAATATAATTAAAGGAACATGTTTTATTTAGTAATACAAAATCAATAGCACCAAGTCAGACTTAGAACGGCGAAATTTTCTCTAAAATTTCCAATAGTTTTACAAACGCTTAAATTAATCATTGGATTACGTAACTGTTTTTATAAAAACATTACGATTTTATTATTTAATGGAATTTGGAATACTTTTGCGAAATACATCTTTAAAAATAGATTCCCTTAATTTGATAAAAACAGTACAGTATTGAAAGATTTTTAAGGAAATTTAATATAAAACATTGCAATCTTAATTGACCGTACTAATTGAATATTACAAAGCGAAACTAACGCACTTATAATATATACAGTAATAACAAATATGCCTTCTGTATGTACCTCTTACAACTATATTTTTTTATGTATCATATTATAAATATTATGCACTTTGTATAAAATGAACGTCAAATAAATATAATACTTCAAGTATCTCTCTCTTTACATATTTATTCAGTAGGTAACAAGTTTGAAAAGAGTAGAAGTTATACATATAGATATTTATTATATCATATAAGTGGGTTGACAAATACCACAAGCGAATCCAAATTATTGAGTGATGTTCTTTATGAAGATTCCTATAGTTCACTATGCCTCCCGTCGTAAGTTCCTATCTCTGTAATGATTCCTGAGATCGAGTGTTTGAACATTTAAGTGATAACGAGTCGGGGTGTTGGCAACACGTTGGAGTGTTCGGCGAACGTCATGGCCGCCATCCACTTCAGCTGATCGTCCGTCACTGCTCCAGCGATTGTGCAGCCGAACCACGGACGCTCTTTGCTCCTGTAACAAAACAAAAGATAACCACTACAGTTACAGTCTGTTCAAAGTCCACTGTTGAACATACCTAGGGCCATACACACTAGGCCTACCCCATAGACTGCCTCATAGATAGGATATTTATCATAGCTGTCACAGCTGCCACGCCTGACAGTAACGCAATTTTTTTTATTAAACGAAGTTCCTTATTGCACGGTATGAATTTGGCGGATGGTGGCTAGGCGAGAAAAAGTGTAAGATTTTTCCGTGACGATCCATTCTATAGTGCGTGCAAGATGGAATAATATCCATCTCCCTCGCACGTTTTTCTTATCTTGCCATAAAGGAAATATTATTTTAAATGGCGCTTCATTCTAATAGACGCTAGTAATTCATTTATTTGTATTTGTTAATCGATAATATAATAATGTACTCCAGACCGAATTTCAGTTACGGCGGCCAATCTCAACGGAGACTAGCCATCTGCGCAGGACAGGATTATAGTGCCCAAGTGTATGCGCAAGCACAGGTGCACTCTCTATTCCCTCACTCTCATAGTCCGATGGGACGGTAAACAGACACGACCGGAGAGAGATCAGGCGCAGGATCAACGGCTTTACGTGCTTTACGAGGCACGGGGGTGGGGCACCGCCAATTTCCTGCCTCCGGGTAGTTACTCAGAATTTCTTGATGGAAAAACTCAATAACTGCTTTTTTTTGGCCCGACCCGGGATTCGAACCCGGGACCTCGTGATCAGCAGTCGCACTACTGTAAACACTAGACCAACGAGGCAGTCAGTCAGTTCGATGATATAATACGTTTATCAATAATAATACACTACGAAAGGAACTTCGATCCAGCCGTGTTCCACGACACTCACATGTTTTTTTTAAATTGTTATTAGGAAAATATTGCTGCCCATATCCTATTTTTTTGCTTCTGTGGCCCCTAAGTATTTCGGCACATTGACCACAACACCCCCGGGATGATGTGGTCAATGTGTCGAAATGCTTATAGTTCCTAGAACAGACTAAAGATATTTTTATACATAGAAAAAAGTGACAAACTAGCCCACATTCCACCTGATTCTAAGTGTATGCTACGGCAATAAACAAGATGGAATGCCTCGTTATCAGTAAAAAAGGATCACCGGTTCTCTAAACGCATCATACGTAACTTATCCATTCGTACTACAACCATAATATAGCACCAGCGTGACTCTACCATGTTAATATAAATAGTAAGGGGCCACAATGACTTCTATTATTTATAACTTTTAATAAGTTGTAATTCCTAAAAATTAGTTTTATACAAGGTGAGGAACCATAAAATTACAGGAAAATGTATGCAATAGGTTACTGGAATAAAGAAGAGGCAAGGACAATGGGTAAATTAGAACAGTTGAACCGATGAGGAACTTGTAGTCAATCTACCTTTCCACGTCTAATGCCCAGCATTACCCAGCTGTAATTAACTCACCGTTTAGGTTTATTATTCCTTGGTATAAAGGTGATTGACCATCGAGACTGCGGGATCCTTTTGGGTTCGTGGCCGATGTACCACAGTATATCTTTTACATCCCACTCCTCAATCTTGTGGGAGCCCTAGGACAAAAATAATATATTGTATAGGTACATATTTTATTAATCCAAATAATGTTAGCTACATCTATAGTTTACATAAAGAAATTTACTTGCTAATATTAAGGCAGTTATTAAAACTAATTAAACGGATTTCATCGATATTTCTGTTATTTTTACAAGCTTTTATTTAACTTGCAATGTAACTGTTTGTTCGGGTGGAATCTTGCAACTCAATTTTGAAGCAGATATCTTCAATCGATTGAGCTGAAATTTTGTATACACGTCAAGTTTGGATGACAATGCATGGTTAGCTATGTGACGTCATTCTAAATCCAACATGGCGGAACACCCAAGATGGCAGACTAGTTATTTTTAATGCACTCTTAAAATATGGGTATCAAATGAAAGGGCTTGCTTAGTGTAACTCGAAAAATAAAGTGACGTCACTCTAAATCCAATATGGCGGACTTCTAAAGATGGCGGACTAAGTTTTTTGTACTTTCCTACAATATGGGTGCCAAATGAAAGGGCTTGCTTAGTGTAACTCGAAAAATAACGTGACGTCACTCTAAATCCAATATGGCAGACTTGTAAAGATGGCGGACTAAGTTTTTTATGCTTTCCTACAATATGGGTATCAAATGAAAGGACTTGCTGAGAATAAGAATGCGAGTTAACCAAAAATAAGATGGTGAACTCGGTTGCTCCAATACGTCTGAAATTTTGGTGTACTGGGGTTTTAGCAGTCCTCGATAATGATGTTGAGGTCGAATTGTTCGAGTCTGTAGCATCGGTTGGTTAACTTTGACTTGTGTAATTTGGCGAGATAGGCGTCAACAGCATTAGTTTGCAACCTGTCTAGCAGAAGGGTAACTCCAAAATCAAACCTGGAACTGTGTTTCGTAAGGCTCAAGCTTCAAGCTGAAATAAGTAGTGCATTCCTCCAAACACCCGAGTCAAGGTGAGGCCGTGCCGAGGACTGTTGATGTACTGGGGTTTTTGGAGTCCTCGAATATGGTATTGAGGTCGAATTGCTTGAGTTTGTAGCATTGGTTGATAAACTTTGACTGTCCAAAGGTCTGGTGAATGGTGCCATTGGACATGTTACAGAATTCATATGGCCCTGCTTCCAGAGAGCACAAATGTATGATACTGACATATCATCCGTCCGTATAGACTTCGGTAAAGACGGTGTTCATCTCATGAAACCCAAGACTGTACAATTTCCAGCAAAATATAGGCACGGCACTGCAGAACGAAGAAGAACGAATTTACCTGTGTAGATAAACAGGATCTAATTGATTTTAATTAATTTTTTTACAAACTAAGTAAATAATTAAAAAATTAAATCTCGCGACAAGCTTTTATATCATATCAATTGTGTGATGACGTTATAAGTTGATAGTAAAAGTTTTAAAGGAAAAGTATATTTTTTTTAGCGAATTTAAATAAAAGCTTGTTTTAAAAAAAGTTTTTTTTTACTTTTAATTTATTAACTCTTGACGTTTCTGTACATTGCAATAACATTATTTTTTTTAAATTAAACTGAAATGATAAAAGAGCTGACAGTCAATCTAATGCTAAGTGTATACTCATGGGTGCAGCTCCTCTCCGGCTGATACTTCGTGCCTGTCCTACCCGGGGTACAAATTAGAACAGTTTTTTATGCCCCGGGCTGGAGTTTGCGTATACGTCAGAGAGGATATCTGTTCTCAACGCCTCGGCAGTCTTGAAGGTATGGACCTGTCCATCCTTTGGCTGCGCGTAGACAGCCACGACCATCCCCGCGTCTACGGGAGCCTGTATAGGTCCCATAGCGGTAATGCCGACACAAACCGACTCATCGACTACGTCCAAATTGAAAAATTGAAAAATTTATTTATTTTCTCATCACAAACCCATAAAAATATCTAAACACTATAAATTGCTACAGATTTCTTGTTACTACAGATCCCATATGTAGAGATCGTGATACTTGGCGATTTTAACGCCTACCACGCCGAATGGCTCGGTTTACGTTTAATAGATCATGCGAGGAGATCTGTTTATGACTTTGCCTTGGCATATGGTCTGAGGCAACTGGTTACTTCGCCTACGCGGATTTCACATGTGGAGGATCATACACCTTCCTTGTTGGACCTTCTGCTGACCTCTCATCCGGACAGATATCAGGTTTCCGTCGATGCCCCTCTCGGCTCTTCGGACCATTTTCTGACCCGGAGTGTGGTGCCACTCACGCTCTCTTCGCGGTTGCGTTATGCAGGGTGGCGCCGTCATTGGCATTACAGGTGCGCACGGACGGATTTGGACGGAATGCGGTCTTTCTTTACATCCTACCCATGGAGGCGGGATGGCTTCTCACCGGATGATCCCAGCGTTGTTGCTGACTCTGTCCCTGATGTAGTGCTACAGGGAATGGAACTATTTATTCCATCATCTGTGGTACCCGTCGGAGGCAGATCTCAGCCTTAGTTTAGTCGCTCCTGTAAGACTGCATTACGCAGTAAGCAGGAGTGTTATCAGGCCTAGGCTGAGGCTTCAGCGGCTCGTATAGCGGATGTAAACACTAGCATGCTTAAAAAGAAGTATAACTTCGCCTCCAGGTCCTTCAAGTGTTCATTAGCAGAATTGGCAAGAAATCAGTTCACCTTCGGGAACCCGTGCATACTGGTCGCTAGCCACGGCTGTTCAAGGGAATTTCTGTAAGCCAACACTACCATCTCTGCACAGACACTCACTGGCCCACACTGCAAAAGAGAAAGCCCACCTTTTAGGCTCCCTTTTTACGTCCAACTCGACTCTCGATGACGTGGGGAACACACCGCCGACTATCCCGCAGTGTGAGTGCTCTATCCCCGATGTGCGATTCACATAGTGCTCAGTACGCATAGCACTTCTCTCCCTGGACATCCACAAGTCGAGTGGGCCTGACGGAATTCCGCCAATTGTGCTGAGGACGTGCGCTCCAGAGTTGGCACCGGTTCTAACGCGTCCTTTTCGGTACTCCTATTCATATTGTCCCAAATTCATGGAAGACACCTTTCGTGCACCCGATCCCTAAAAAAGGTAGCCGCTCTGATCCGTCCAAGTACAGGCCTCTAGCCGTCACCTCCTTGTTCTCGAAAAGAATTGAGTCCAGTATTAACTGCCAGCTCATGCGGTACCTTGGGGAGCACCAGCTAATCAGTGACCGCCAGTACTGTTTCCGTTGGGGCCGCTCAGCTGGTGATATGCTTGTTTACCTAACTGATAGACGTGCGCGGGCGATCGAGTCCAAGGGGGAGGCATAGGCCGTTAGTTTGTACATAGGGAAGGCCTTCGATCGGGTCTGGCACAAAGCGCTTCTTTCGTAGCTTCCTTCTTGTGAGCTTCCCGAGAAATTGTATCAAGGTCGTAGTAGACGCTGCATGATCCGATTACAAGCTTATTAACGCTGGAGTTCCACAAGGTGCGTACTATCACCAACACTGTTTCTTCTGCATATCAATGATATATTGCAAGCCGGCAACATTCATTGCTATGCTGATGACAGCACTAGTGATGCTCTATACACTGGCTGTGCCAATATTTCTCGGAAAGACGTCGCCGAGTATCGGAAAAAACTTGTGTCTGAAGTAGAGTCTTTGCTGAACAAAGTCTCGGATTGGGGGCGACTGAATCTAGTCCAGTTTAATCCTCAGAAGAGACAAGTTTACGCGTTTACCGCTAAAAAGAACCCCTTTGTCGTATCTCCTCAGTTTCAAGGCACTCCCTTTGTTGCCTCAGCCAGTATCGGAATCCTCGGTGTCAATATATCGAGTGACGTGCAGTTTCGTGGTCACTTGGAAGAGAAGGCCAAGTTGGCCTCTAAAAAGCTTGGCGTGCTCAGCAGAGCGAGACAGTGTTTCATGCCGGCACAACGCCTGCAGGCCCAGGTTCGGCCTCACATGGAATACTCTTCCCATCTCTGGGCTGGGGCTCACCAGTGCCAGCTCCTTCCACTTGGCCGCATCCAGCGCAGAGCGGCTCGAATCGTCAACGACCGAGTCCTTTCCGATCGGCTCGATTCATTGGCGCTGCGAAGAGATGTTGCATACTTTTACATTTTCTTTCGCATCTACCATGGGGAGTGCTCTGAGGAATTGTTCGGATTAATTCCAGCCGCCAAATTTCACGAACGCACATCGAGGCAGAATTCTCGATACCATCCACACTATCTGGATGCTTGGCGGTCCACCACTGTACGTTTCACTAGGAGTTTTCTTCCGTGTACGACCTCTCTATGAAATAGCTTACCATCGGCGTTTTTCCGGACCAATACGACTTAGGGACCTTCAAGAAAAGAGCTTCCTCCTTTCTAAAGGGCCGGCAACGAACCTGCGATTCCCCTGGTATTGCAATGGTTCATGGGCGGCGGTAGTCACTTACCATCAGGTGAGCCGTATGCTCATTTGCCCCCTCTCTTATAAAAAAAAGTTTAATTTAATATGTAGCATTTATGTAAACATAAGCAATAACTTACTTGTTTATCCTTGAAATAGCAAAGCTTCGTTTTATTAAATTCAAACATATGCAACTTGAATGCTTTTGAAGACTCGTTGGCCAAGCGCAGTTCCCCACAAATGAGAGACGTGGTGTTTCTTAGCGCGTCTATCTCGTGGAGGATCTTGTTCTCCCTCACTAGGAGATAATTGTCCTTCCTGTCTTCCTCGTCCCAGTATCCCCAACGTAGGACAACGTCAAATACAATCTCGTCCAAGTGAACGATTCGACGCATGGAATCGTTGCATATGATTTCCTCGAGCATTAGCAAATGGGACTCCATGTTGGCTTTCTCGCAGAGCTCGATACATACGTCAGCGCTGGTTTTGTTCGGAGTCAACTATAAGAAAAATGTATGCCATTTTGAAAACCGATAAATGATCGTGTAAAAGAAGTGTACACTAAAAGGACTACTGATATCTTCGTAATGATTGTTACAACGTGTAAAGGGTAAAGTGAATTCACAAAATCCTTGTAAATGTTTGTAAGTAGTTTACGGTTTCGTGGTGATTTGGTAGGTATTGTACATAATAAAAGCAAGACAAAAAGTACGTAGCGGTTTACATTATGAAAGAAACAGAAAAAGAAACTTTTTATTCAATTTAGATTAGGTGAAGCGAGCAATGAAAAAAAAACTAAAAAGGCACAGTGGAGTATAATATTATGATAACAAATATGAACAGAAACTTTATTATTCAATATAGGTTATAAATAATACTTACTAAAAGTCACTTTTTTTAAATTTACGAATGGTTCGGAAAAAAGCCTGTGTCCTGGGAAAAACCAGCAAGAAACCCAGTGGGACTTTAAAAAAAAACTAACAGCTTACGATCATGTATGTATGTTACAGCTAACAACACAAAACAAATTAAAAATAGTTTGGTAACGATCACCTTTCCCAGGAGTTATTATCATCCATAAATTCCGTAATATTATGGTTTAAGAGCCAGTGTGCGGCAGACTTATGGCATTTCAATAAGCTTCAAGATTTTTTTTCAGTTAATCCCCTATACCTGAGGTACATGAAATGGGGACTCTTTAGTTTGACCGGCAGTTGATATAGACGCTCAAATGTGAAAGGTGTAAAAAATAGACCGGAAAAAACTTGAAATAAGAAGTCTGCCGCTTTGACATCTTGAAATATTAAATAAAAGTTACTAAAAAATAATATTGGGAGATTTTTAATGCGTTGATTGATTTCTCGGTCAAAATTGGATTTACCTACTCGGACTATTTCTCCCAGATAAAAATACTCGTCAATAATTTCAAGCTTAGTGCTCTCAACAACTACCGGCATAGCTGGACGTTACACATGATCTTTGTTTTGTCCATGTTGATCTTAAAACCTATCCGTTAGGGGGCACTATTGAGGTCATTGAGCAAAGTGCTTATAGGTCCTCCAGCGATTCGGCCATAGGGGGTATATCAATTGAATAATATAATTAAATCGAAGGTGAGTGATGTATTCGTCATTGATGTTAATACCGTATCCTTTCGAGTCCGGCAGCTTCAACAGCAGTTTAGTAGTAGTATGCAAAACCAATTGCTTATACAAACGACTGAACACAAAAAAACGACTGAAATTTTAAAGGAATTACGTCTCCCGATGTACTGCTTGCTTCAGGAATCTGAGGAATTTCAAGGATTCCTTCTTACTTTTCTACCAAAGTACAAGAATACACGAAAAGTATTGCTATATCCGTTGCCAAGGACAGATGTTCTTTTGTTCTGCGTAAACTAAAACTCAGGACTCGCAGGCTCATAATAGACAAACTCATAGGCGCTTCCTCTAAAAAAAATAGAAAAAAAAGACTGGATTAGAGCGAGTGCTATAGTACGCGCTTATGGACGCCACTGAAGTTCGTTGTCTGCCTGGGTGATAGAACTTTAATATATGTATGAATGCCATGCGAAACATACATATCAAATAATATTATCAACAACATATATAAATTGCTATGGTTAAGGTGGAAGACCAACTATCCAAAGAAACTAACATTAAGCGTGGTGTGCGACAGGGGTTGTATTTCATCGGCCGTATTATTTAATGTATACGCCGCAAGAATAATGGCCGAATCCCTCTATGGAGCCGATGAAAGTGAGATTGATACAGAGACGCTCAGGTCTCTATATCAACCGCCGGTCAAACTAAAGAGTCCCCATTCCATGTACCTCAGGTATAGGGGATCAACTGAAAAAAACGTGAAGTTTATTGAAATACCGTATGTCTGCCGCTCATTGGCTCTTAAACTATTATAATAACACATTTTATACAACCAAATTTAATAAAGTTTTTGGACTTTGTGCTGATCAAATTTTGTATATTTTCAGGGATTTTGTAGTAAAAGCGTATACATCGCCCCAAGATTGAATTACTGACTCGATGGAGTCGAGTAACTGGTACTGTGTCTGTTCCTAGTATTTACAGAATGAATATCACTTATTTTTGTAAAACTCCTTTATTTTTGTGTACGTACATTACATTTTCATAAATGTATTGAGAGGCCAAAGTTAATATATTATTTTTCCTTAAATTTTTGTCGCAGCGACTCTTTAGGTTTTAAAACATAGATTGCTTTTATGACCCTCTTTTGTAAAAAAATATAATTTCAGTGTCAGTCGCGTGCCCAAAAATACCATACGTCATTATGCTATGGAAATAACTAAATTAAACTAGTCTAGCTGTTGCCAACAATCTTTTTCACGGCATGTGCTGCAGAACTAAGTCTGCTTGCTAGTTTTGGTATATGGGGCGCCCATTGAAGCTTCGCGTCTAGTGCGATTCCAGGAAAAATGGTTGTATCGACAAGACTCAGCTCCTCCCCATTTAAAATTACTTTCGTATTTAGAAGTTTCACATTTGTAGTTATGAATTTCATACAGTTTTAGTGCCATTCAAATGCAAATTATTAACATTAAACCAATTTATTCATTTAGATGTAGCATTATTTATTTTATCATATTTTAATAATTGCCTTTTTAATTTGAAAATTAATGAATTATAATCAGCAAATAATACTATTCATGCTTATCGCTTACTATGTAAGGTAGTCATTAATATATACAAGAAACAGAAGGGGTTCGAGAATTGCGCCCAAAGGCACGCTCATTTCTACTATCAACCCTGGAGAACTCATACTATTAATGACGGCTTTTTGCGTTCTGTTACTTTAATATGAAATAATTGATTTAAGGCCATCAATTCTTACACCGTAGTGCTGAAGTTTTCTGATTAATGTTTCACGGTGAACACAATCGAATGCCTTGGATAGGTTATAGATTATACACAAAGCATCCTGTGAATTTTCTCGTATATTGAAGATGTATTTAATTAGCTCAACACCACCAGCAGTTGTCGAGCAACCCCTTGTGAAACCGAATTGATTTTTATGTAGTAAATTATTTGCATTAAAAAAACATTTTATCAACATTTTTTTTTTCTAAATTTTACTTTGTTGGCAGTACAGAAATAAGTCTAAAATTGGCGGGGTCCAATGTGCTACCAGATTTAAATAAAGCTATTACTTTAATATGCTTCATTAAATCAATAAACACATCCGATTCTATACTAGTATTAAAAATAATAGATAGAGAGGCGAAGTAAAATTAGGTAGGTACTTATCAGCACAAGCCTTTGTTTCCATCACGAAGAATCAGGTGAAGCTGCGGAACGCAACTAGTTTGGTAAAGTAGTTATTATCTTTTTATAGAAAAATAAATTATTACGAGGAATACTAATAAAATATAATTTTATGATATTATTATCTAAGGAAATGTTTTTAGTGACAACCCTGGCATATTTTTAGCGACTTACGTCGAGACAGCCTTGTAGGTATATTGAGGTATGACAAAAGAGTTGACCCACTATTAGTATTTATTACACATGGTTGAGGTATGAGGTATACTTGACTACTATCCTACCTGATGGTAAGTGGTGATGCAGCCAAAGATAGTATAAAAGCATAGGATACTGACTTAGCTTAACTAAAACCTATTAACTCTTGCATTGAATACACCCACACTGTAATCGGATGGCGAGATCGTACGTGCATCTCGTAAGTAATTCCACTCCTCTGCTGTGCGATTTGTGAGCAACAAAGCAAACCGTTTGGTTTGAGTGTGTAGTACATAAGTTCGACCGAAGCGGTAGAGACTCGCCGAGCGTGGATTTGTCGAATAGTGGAAGGGAGAGGGAGACTAAGAAACGCATGTTGTTCATGCATAACGTAACTATTAGGATAACATATTTAATTTCTATAAAAAAAAATATTTAATACTCGTATAGTACTCTACAACAAAATGTGATTTCTTCGCACACTCTCCGAAAAAATTTTTTTTATAGAATAAGGGTGACAAACGAGCACACAGTCCACCTGATGGTAAGTGGTTGCTGTGGCCCCTAGAAATCTACATCTATCTTCGTTTGCAAATTAAAATGCAGATGCGTTGTCAGCCGTGAGGACTAAGATAGACTGCCTCTTTACCAGTAAAAAGGGTCTCCGGTTCTCTACACTCACCATACGAAACACAGCAGCATTAAGCTGCGTTTTAACGCTGTTATTCTGTGAGAGCGTGGTCCTTCCCCGGTCGAGCCGACCCATTCGTGCTACAACTATACTATTAATATAGATGCAGCATGGCTCTACCACTTAAAATGAATGAACATAAAAACATAAACATAACATAAACACTCACGCCTGTCACCCAGAGGGGTAGGCAGAGATTATGGACTTCCATTTGGCACGATCCTGACACACCTCTCTCTCTTCCTCCACATCCATATATCTACGCATACACGCTCGTCGGTTAAAGGTACTCTTGATATGGCCCATTTTTAATATATCGCCAATTTGGTCGATAAACTTTCGCCTAGGGCGACCCTTCCCGACTATGCCGTTCACCTCTGCAAAATAAATTTGCTTTGTCACTCTTTCCTCATTCATTCTTTCTACATGGCCAAACCACCGAAGCATTCCTTTCTTAATCCTGGTCACAACATCATCTTGCAAACCACACTCTTCTCTTATTAAACAATGAATGAACACCGAAATACAAATAGACTGGCTACCTTTACCCTTCTGAGTGCTGACTGTACCGGCTGCGCTATTCTATCTTCCTAAAAAGAGTGTACAGTAGAGGAAGATAACGTGATGGATCCTATACACTCACGGTGACTTGGTAACAGTTGGTGCGATCGTGAACATAGACCCAGGCGCGTAGATCACCAGCCGCCCGTGGAGCCGCTGGCGCTGCTGAGGCGAGCACGCGCGTCAGCACGCGCCGCACGGCCGCCTCGCGTCGCTTCTCGGCCTCCGTTGGCTTCCACACCACCTCGTAGCTCGCGATCAGATCGCGCACCACGTAAACCTCCTTCGACGACCACGCCGTTTGCAGCGTGTTGCTCGTCTGGCGCACAAATAAATCATTTTACAAGAACTGCTTACCTGACTGAAGTTTTTCATAGATGGATCGTTAAAGTTATAAATATGTAAGTATCTATTTAAAAAAAATGTTTAACACAATCTGGATGATTTAAACACTTGAAATCATTTAACATTCATTCCGTCTCAAGCGTCGGCGCGAGTCGGTCGTTTAACTAATTGCATTGTGCCGTGCGTATGTGTGAGTCTCGTGTAAAGCATCGGAGTTTAACGTTAACGCTATATCGACATCACTCGAGCGCATCGTGGAGATTTTGCACAGATTAATTTCATAACAGAGCGGTCAAGTTATAAACATGACAACTGTAAACAGTACATTTACGCAAGAGTGTGAAACTGAACAAGATTTAAGACCCGGAGAAATGAGTGTTAACGAGTCATTTATTGAAAATGAATCACCTCCTCCATATATAACATATCGGAAAGGTAGTAGCGTGATTCCTGCAATTTCCGATCTACAACAAGAATTTAAAACTCTTCAAAGCAGTTTACTTAACAGGCTTGATTCCTGGTTCTCAAAACAAGAAACAAAATTTAATACCCTTCTTAATGACTTCGACGAAATTAAAACCACGCTGAAATTTATCAGTGACAAATACGATGATTTAGACAAAAGAACTCATGATGTCAGCAAGCGCGTATCTAGAATAGAACAGCAGCTGAAATCCACACCGGTCTTCGAAGCACGTATCTCTGAATTAGAAACTAAACTGGCTGAATTTGAACAAAAATCTCGAAATTGTAATATTGAGATAAGTAATCTGCCTGAAAAACGAAGCGAGAACTTAATACAAATATTGGAGAATATTGCTAAAGTCATAAAGCAACCAATTTCTACTAAAGACATAGTTACAATTCATCGTGTACCTCATATGAACCCTAAGATTTCACGCCCGAAGAATGTAATTGTAAAATTTTTCAATCAAGCAACGCGTGACATCTTTGTTTCTGCAGCAAGACTATCAAAAGGAATCACAACAGAGCAAATAAATATGCATGGAGCCGTTCAAAATATATATATCAATGAGCACTTAACTATTCAAAGTAAGAATTTGTTTCGTCAAACTCGTGAAGCAGCAAAACAGAACGGATATAGATTTGTGTGGATCAAGCGCGGAACTGTACTGGTTCGTGCAAGCGAAACATCTGCTATTTTTGCTATACGAAGGGAACAAGATATATTATCGAAAATTAAACCAAAGGATACCAAATGATGGATTTACTTGTGAAATAGTTATTAGTAATAGGTTTGTGCAAGCGAAACATCTGCTATTTATGCTATACAAAGATAACAACATCAATTATCGAAAAGTAAACATAATGATACCACATAACAAATTTGAAAATAATAATATGAACAAGGTACGTCTTCTTATAAGATTTATTTGCAAGCTCTTAGTGTTGCATTACTCTATGTGTTGTTTACGACTGGGACAATTCTTTTACCACATATATTTTTCTGCGGTCACCGTCACAATGACTGTTTTGTGTTTACATTTTAATACAATTCACGATTTACATTTTCTAACAAATAGCATAATACAATTATTACCAACTAAATTACTTTTAAACAATCTTGTACACGAACAAATTTTTGCGATATATAGTTCCATATGTTTTTTATTTAGAATTTTACACTTTTTCATATGTTTTTCTTTTTTTAAATTATTGCTAGTAATTCTTAAAACGTATACTATTTATGAAGATGGCTTATAAAATACAGGTATACTATCAGAATTGTAGAGGTTTGAGGACAAAGTTGAGTACTTTATTCAATAATATACTGTTGGACCATTATGATATAATAATTCTCACGGAAACGTGGTTGACCTCGAACATTGCAGATAGTGAACTCATTGATTCGCGTTATGTAGTTTACCGATGCGATCGAAATCGAGAGTTATGTGGTAAAACAGACGGTGGAGGTGTATTGATTGCGGTGCGCAGGGGGCTAAATGGCACTCGATGTATTTTAAAGCCCACTTTTCACTGTGAAGACGAAATTATAAATGTCCCATCAAATATTGACTATGTGATACTTAAGTTTTATTCTAAGCAACATAACGAATATCACGCTGTTGGCGGTGTTTACATACCACCAAATCAACCTTTAACTGCTTATCAATTATTTTTTAACTCTCTCCAAAATGAGCTTATGTGTAACGAAAATACAAAAATATATATTTTCGGGGACTTTAATCTACCCCACATTGAGTGGCTGCAGTGTGACGGGAATACATGTACTCCAAATACACATTACTGCAAAAATCCAATGACTTTGCTCGTTTCAAATTTTTTATCAATTGTAGGCTGCAAACAATTTAATTTAATTAAAAATAATAAGAATCGCATCTTAGATCTTTTCATTTCAAATAATGATACAAGTACTTGTAAGTCACCACTAAACTCTTTAGTTCCAATAGACGTCTTCCATCCACCACTTAACGCCGAGATATTTTTTAACGTAGAATACATGCAATTGGCGCGTAAAATTTTACCAAAATATCGATTCTCCGAGGGTAAATATGCAGATATTAATGACGATATTAAACGTGTAGACTGGGCAAGTATTTTAGAGGTGCCGTCCTTAGACACTGCCACCAACCACTTTTATGAGGAGATATATAAAATCATTAGGAAACACGTACCTTTACGTCCAATCAAATCTAAAAAGTTTCCAATATGGTTTACACGTCCACTAATACACATATTTAAAAATAAAGAAAAATCATGGATAAGGTGGAAAAAATTTTCTAACCAATTAGATTATGAGGAATACTCTGTACTGCGAAAAAGATTTAAACAACTTTCCGCGCAATGCTTCAATTCATATTTAAGTAAAATTGAAACAAGTTTGCAGAAAGACATCAAAGTATTTTGGTCTTTTGTAAACAATAAAAAAAAATGTGGTATTCCCAACGTAATGTTTCACAATGGAAATGAAACCGATAATCCTGAGGACATATGTGAATTTTTTTCTAACTATTTTACTTCAGTTTATGAGAACAGCTCACTGATGACGTACGACATAGATTCACTTCCTTGCTCATCAAACACTAACTTTATTATCTCAGATATATCATTTTCAAAAAACACTATAGAACAATGTCTAAAAAACTTAGATATAACTAAAAGTTCAGGACCAGACGGTATCTCACCTTTTTTCCTCAAACATACTGCTAGCTCAATAAGCGTACCTCTGTTCTATTTGTATAACCGCAGTTTGCGTGAAGGTTTAGTGCCCACAGTCTGGAAATCTGCGAATATAACCCCAGTGTTTAAAAACGGTTCTAAAACTGATGTGACTAATTATAGACCTATTTCCTTACTTTCTGCCTTATCAAAAGTCCTTGAACGCTTAGTACATAACTCAATTTATCCGAGTTTACACAACTTACTAATTCCAGAACAACATGGTTTCGTAAAACACCGATCGACCATCAGTAATCTTATTTTATATACAAACTTTCTGTTTGATAATATGGACAATCGAATACAAACTGATACTGTTTACACAGACTTTTGTAAAGCCTTTGATAAGGTGGATCATTCCATCCTTCTCCAAAAACTTGCGTTCAATGGTATACGTGGAAACTTATTGCGGTGGTTCTCTTCGTACATTATTAATAGAACCCAAAAAGTTGTGGTTAACGGATTCTCCTCTAGCGAAAAATTAGTATCCTCAGGTGTACCACAGGGATCTATACTAGGTCCGATGCTCTTCACAGTGTATATAAATGATATTCAGTATTGTTTTATAAATAGTAATTTTTTGTTATATGCAGATGACCTGAAAGTTTATCGAAGTGTAAAGTCCCTTAATGATTGTGAGAAGCTACAGGAAGATCTTGACCGGTTATCTAACTACTGTCTAATCAATAAATTGCAATTAAGCATCCCTAAATGTAAATCTATTTCTTTCACCAAAAACGTAAAAACCTACAATTACATATATTCCCTACTTAACAGTCCCTTAGAAAAAGTATCATTAATAAAAGATTTAGGCATCCTTTATGATTCAAATCTAACCTTTAATGCTCATATCAGCCATGTAACAAATAAAGCGTATCAAATGTACGGAATTGTTGCACGAACGTGTAATTTTTTTAAAAGCTCCTCATCTTATTTACTACTTTTCAAATCACTTATCAGACCACAAATTGAATATGCAACGCAAGTATGGAATCCCTATTATAATAAATACGGTGAACTTCTAGAATCATTACAAGCAAAGTTTCTTCGTTTTATAAATTACAAATGTTACCACGCTAAATCATCGTATCGCAACTTATTAAAAAAGTTTTCAATTCATACTTTAAAAGCAAGAAGAATATACTTTGATGTAATACTATTATTCAAAATAATTCGAAATTATTCAGATTGTAGTGAATTACTTAACAAAATATATATCCGTGTCCCTAGTCGTTCTCAACGCATTAGAGACGTGTATACACATAAATTGTTTGCACCTAAACTATGTAAAACCAATGCAGGTGAACGTGCCCCATTAAGACGTATTATGAAAGTATATAACATGCATTTTTCAAATATTGATCTATTCACCTCATCACAGTTACAATTTCGCAAGAACGTTCTAAGAAAGTTGGTAGACATTCAATAGTATCTTAAAATATTTTACAAGATAAATTTGTACTGTTAGCAATTTTTTTTCCCTTTTGTCTCATTTTGATTTTTATGTTACTGAATACTGTCAATTTTATTTTCCCTTTTTTACTTATACTCTGTTTATTGTGCATTTATTATTTACTGTTACCAATTTAATATTACTTTGTGGATAACGGTGCTGGTTACATAATGACTAATGTTATTTATAAAATGTTATTTGGTTTAAGCATTATTATGTAATTGTTTGTTGTCCTGAATAAATTAAAAAAAAAAAAAAAAACAGACAATATTTATTTATTAAAATTTATTTATTTTGACAGATAATGCCGATAGGCATAT